CCAAAACTAGATGTTTTCGCCAAGTGGTTATTCACCGTTGTTCACTTCTATATGCTTTCATTTTTCTTTTTTTTTTCCTTTTTTACTTTCCATATTGCTCTTGCCTGCCACACACAATATGTTGTTATTCATATGCCATGTAAAAGCAAAGTTCACGCTGGTCGAGTGGGCGGCCTGTCCGGTGTTCACGCTGATCTTATGGGCGGACACGGTTAACTATTTTCTCTTTCTCATTTGTGTGCCAAAATCTGCGCTCTCCCGAAATCACACCTTCTGAATAGACTGCTCCTAGTGATCTGAATGTGACTCCTCCCGACCCATTTATCATCTCCTGAGTCATTTATCCGAATATAAGGGTGAAGTCCTCGCTGGTCGTATAGGCGGAGACATTTGACCATTCTCTTTTCTCATTTGCGCGCCAAAATCTGTTCTCGTACCCAGATTCTTTCCCATTGAGCAGCCTTCTATCAGCAGCGGAACCCTTCTGACCACTTTTTCGTCTCCAATACTCTCCACTGAAGGCTACGCCTTTGAGATGGTTTATCATGGTTTGTCTGAAACGACGCGTTTTGTAAATCATCTTATTCTAGATATTTATGAGTTTGAGGAGGAGGCGATGTAGTGGCAAGTGACAGTACCACATACTATTGTGGCACTACCACACACATACTGCAATCCGGCGGTCAAGTCCGACCGCCTCCCCCCCCCCTTCCAAGCCATCCAAATATTCTTTTCTCCGTGCTTATATTGATTCCAGATTCATCTGGGAGGATAAGAACACTGTGTACATCGGCTGGCCCCCGCAAGTCATTGTATAGGCCACATCGCATTCAATAAGCCACTACGATTCTGAATGGAAGTAGAATGCGTGCCGCATCAGAAAAGGGCCAACACTGGAGACTATGTGCTTTGTGCTCTATTTGTTTACTTGTTAACTCACTCTCCAGGTATTTGAAAGGTTCACGTTTTTCATGCCGTTCTCGAGTCTGTATCTTCCAGTAACTATATAACCTATGACTTCTGTCTTCACAAAGTGGAAACAATCCGTACTGCCCTTGCACCTCCTAAGGCTGACCCACAAAAGGTGATCGCAACAGCAATTAGCGCGAAACAATCGGTTTCGCACCGGAAACGGGTTTCCTACAGCCGGTCCTAATCTTCTGCGCTATAAAACGCTATGAATTATGGGACCTATTTGCAACCGTCCATTGGTTTCCGACCTAGAGATGGGAAAAGGTTCTGCGATGGATACGTGGCAACAGAATCATAAATCGCCGCGGCAGTGGCGTCGCGTGCGACGTCGCGCCCACTAATGACGACGATTTCCGGTGGTATTGGTCGAGAATAGACAATGTATGACCAAAAATAGACATAAGGGTCCACCTGTCCTTGTCTACATGAGGTGCGATTATCCAATTGAAAGGGCTGTGCAAACTGAAGAAAGGTCGCGCCCTTTGCCGCACGCGACAAAGCGGCAGTTAACGATTCTCTCAAGTGTCTTATTTCTGCAATAGAGGCTGCCCCCGTCCTGCGCTATTCATTGTTCGCCTAGCTTGAACCTCGATTTCACTTTAACTCTCTTCATCGGATAGCACTTATGTGAACATGCGGAGCTACACGATTCCATTAAGCTTGTCGAGAAAGTGCTAAACCAAACGTTATTGAAGAGCAGTATGAAAGGATTCACCAACCAAAGTCACATTCCAGCACTATCGAAGAGGTAACGGTGAGGAGCGATTTGGTGGATCATCATAAACACCCACCCGTTGCTGCCTTTATCACTGCATGCCCTCCCCTTCCGAGTCGCCTCCAGAATGAGGACGCGACCAATAAGGTGAGGTACTATTGCTGTAAGTCTTCACCTACTTTTCTACCCACATAGTTGCAGCAAAGTGTCTCTTGAGATCCTTCAGTCCAGCCCTTTTCGATTTTTACGAGGCTTCCAATTACATTTTTGTAAAGATAATCAAATCGACAGTTTTGCTCACTTCGGACGGGCGGTGGGACGTTTCGGGGAGAGGGAAGGCGGAGAGCTAGTCTCAGGCAAGGTTCCAGCACTGTTATTCCACCAACTTAATGTCGGGTCGCCTGCCAGCGTTCAATTAGAGGAGAAATGACAGGCGCAGTGCCAAAGCCAGCCCCTCCCCTCTCCTGAACGCTCCATCATCCGCTGGAACTGAAGCGTATATCTAAACAAGTACAGATGAGTTTGTGACAGGTGGACCCGAGCCGCTATTGCATGCATATGCCGGGGAGGGGGGAGGAAGGGTCAAGGTCCGTGATGTAGCTCTTTATCCGAAGCTTTGTGCTACAGCGTACCCAAAGCCGAATAGGACAGTGACCTGAGGGGTCTATGCCCGAGCAGCTTCACTGTAAAGGCTAGCTGCCAATCTCAAATTTCTGCTGCCCTTCCCCCCCATGCTGTAAATGGCTGAGTGAACGCCAATGCTGTGGACGCATCACACGCGAATGGTTGAACGAACCGTCGATGCTTACCTTCTCGAGTGGAGGTAGAGTTCAAGAACCGCTCATTACCGGCGTCGACGGGGCTGTGACAGCGCTCTAGAATTTATGGACGCGAGCGCCAGCGCAGACAAGCTGTAGCCGATCGATACTCAGTGTGCGTTGACTCGCGCCACATACTCTCCTATTCCCCCATGCTCTCTCTAAACACGTGCGAAAAAAAATGAAAAAAAGAATATCCAAACTTTCTTCATTAGTGCTCTTCCCCTATTTATTGTCCGAGACAAGAGGATGCACACAAAGGCACAGCGTGGACTCCGCCTACACGAATTTGCGTGAACTCTGACTTTACTCTTTCTATTGCCTTCGGAATACAGATTTCGAATGTTTCAACCATTTCAGTTGTACGATATGTAGTACTGACGTCATTCGTTGTCTTTCTCCTTGGTATGGCAGTTCTGATGACGTTGAGTATTGTACCACCTGAAGCATTCCTTCAACTAAAACCACGAGCTGACGTCATCAAAAAGTCGAGGCTTTTCCCACAGGGAGGTATGTGTAATCTCTATAAGCTCACTAAATATGTATAATTTGCAAATTTATTCTTGTTTTTTTGTTGTTTGTTTATTTATTTGTTTGTTTGTCCGAAAATTCACCCTTACCTGAGCATCTTTTAATCGTCGGGTCAGGATTGGGATAGATAGGGTATGGGACAAGATGTGCAGAGCACAAATGGCCTAGGCTAAGTGCCGCCCACAGTGGGCGGGGCATGCGTTTCCAGTGTCACACGAAATTTCATAATCCGGTCTCAAAGCAGCCCATAGATGGGGAAAAGTATGTTAAGGTCATTAAGGAGTTAACGGAGAAGGGAGGGGTCTATCAGAAATGGGATAGGTCTACTAGATACGGGCAGTGCTTGCCACAGATTTCCCATAGCCCGGTCCTGGGAGAGTTTGGACAGCGGGAAAAAAAACGCCATCCGGCCGGTATATGATAGTATGAGTGATCAAACTATACGGTTGACTGGTACCCCTTTGACAGGTACCTTTGTTGGAGCTAACGTTTTTGTGAGAACACGGGAATCATTCTTGAGCGCTTCTGCGTCTCCCTTATGTCAGTGAAAGTAAATTACGGCCGCTCTGACGTATCTAGCCGCTTCTGAGCTCTGAGCAACTTGGTTAAGCGTAAGATGACGCTATGTGTGTGTTGTTGCCTCCGCCCCCTTCCCCACCACAAAGTACGTGAATCGTTTCCACCATCTCCTTGTCTACATGAAACGATGCTTCAATTGAAAGGGTACTGCAAACCGAGGAAAAGTCGCGCCCTTTGCCGCACGCGACAAAGCGGCCATTAACGATTCTCTCAAGTGTCTTATTTCTGCGATAGAAACTGCCCCCACAGCTCCTGCGCTATTCATTGTTCGCCTAGCTTGAACCTCGATTTCACTTTAACTCTCCTCATCGGGTAGCCCTTATGTGAACAAGCGGAGCTACACGATTCCATTAAGCTTGTCGAGAAAGTGCTAACCAAAAGTTTTTGAAGAGCAGAAAGAAACTATTCACCAACCAAAGACACATTCCAGCACTATCGGGGAGGTGAGGGGGATTTGGGGATCACCATGACCACTTGTGCCTTTTCACTAGCATGCCCTCCCCCTTCCAGTCGCCTCAGAATGAGGGACGCACCAATGAGGTAGGGACTATACTTGTGAGGCTCCGCCCGCCTTTCCACCCACGTAGTTGTAGCAGCGCGTCTCTTTAGACCCATCAATCCCGGCTCTTTTCAAATTTTACGTGCCTTCAATTATAGATTTTTAAAGATAATCAGTTCTTGCCCACGTGCGGGTTTAGGGGGGGGGAGGGCGGAAGGAGGCAAAGGTTTTCAAGACTTCAGCCTGCATTCCACCAACTGTGGTCGCCTGCCAGTTCTCACAATCAGAGGAGGAAGGACAGGCGCAGCGCCAAAGCCAGCCCCTTCGCTTCCCTTAAACGCTCCGTCGTCTGCTGGGGACTAAAGCTAACAAATGAGTTGGTTGACAGGTGGCGCCAAGCTGCTATTGCATACATAGGCTGGGGAAAGGGGAGAAAGGTCAACTTCCCACGATTAGGCGCTGCCCGAACCTTCGGACAGCGTGACAAAGGATTGAGACAGTGAAAATGAAGTGTGTATGCCCGGCAATTCATTGTAAAGGCTAGCTGCACTCTCAAATGTCTGTGCCCTCCCCATGCTGTAAATGCTGTGAACAGCAAATGCGTGGCGCGCATCACACCGCGAATGGCTGAACGAACGTTGCGTATTTCTCGAGTGAGGTAGGGTTCAGACTTCGCTATTACCGCGTCGACGGGCTGTAACGCGCTCTAGAACTTTAGACGCGAGCGCAGCCGCAGACAGCTGGCGCCGATCGATATCAGTGTGCGTGACTCGCGCCACATACTCTCCTATTCCCCCATACTCTCTCTAAACACGTGTGAAAAAAAATGAAAAAAAGAAATATCCAAACTTTCTTCATTAGTGCTCTTCCCCTATTTATTGTCCGAGACAAGAGGATGCACACAAAGGCACAGCGTGGACTCCGCCTACACGATTGGCGTGAACTGTGACTTTACTCTTTTACTTTGCCTTCGGAATAATACAGATTTTCTGAATGTTTCAGCCATTTCAGTTGTACGATATGTAGTACTGACGTCATTCGTTGTCTTTCTCCTTGGTATGGCAGTTCTGATGACGTTGAGTATTGTACCACCTGAAGCATTCCTTCAACTAAAACCACGAGCTGACGTCATCAAAAAGTCGAGGCTTTTCCCACAGGGAGGTATGTGTAATCTCTATAAGCTCACTAAATATGTATAATTTGCAAATTTATTCTTGTTTTTTGTTGTTGTTTGTTTATTTATTTGTTCGTTTGTCCGAAAATTCACCCTTACCTGAGCATCTTTTAATCGTCGGGTCAGGATTGGGATAGATAGGGTATGGGACAAGATGTGCAGAGCACAAATGGCCTAGGCTAAGTGCCGCCCACAGTGGGCGGGGCATGCGTTTCCAGTGTCACACGAAATTTCATAATCCGGTCTCAAAGCAGCCCACAGATGGGGAAAAGTATATTAAGGTCATTAAGGAGTTAACGGACGAAAGGGGAGGAGGGGGTCTATCAGAAATTGGCCAGGTCTACTAGATACGGGCAGTGCTTGCCACAGAATTCCATAGCCCGGTCCTGGGAGAGTTTGGACAGCGGGAAAAAACGCTATCCGGCCGGTATATGATAGTATGAGTGATCAAACTATACGGTTGACTGGTACCCCTTTGACAGGTACCTTTGTTGGAGCTAACGTTTTTGTGAGAACAGGCGGGAATCATTCTTGAGCCGCTCTCTGGGCGTCTCCGTTACTGCGCGTGAAAGCTCACGGCCCTCTAGCGTTCTGCGCGCCTGAGCCTTGGTTAGGTAAGAGACGCTATGTGTTGTGTTGTGCCCCCACCCCTCCCCACCACAAGTACGTGATCGTTCTTTTTTCGTCCAAGTAGGGGCAAATAGACGCGCAGTATCGTTCACCTGCTGCTTGTGATGAAGCGTATTAATGAATGGCTCTTTCCAAGAGCTCTACCCGAGCATGGAGGATCTCTACCAAGTTTCAGAATAATGTTTTCCGGCAGTCCCAAGCACACCGTGTTCATTTTCTGCTCGTGTAGGACCTCATTATATCAAATTTACAGAAGACTGCCTGGTTGAGAGGGCTCAGACGAGCAAAATGTTCTTATCTTAGGACCCCTTTCACTAGCCTTCCAACTGTCCAACGGTTGGAAAGTGTTCTTCAATTACCTGCTATGCTTTCTTAACCAGTTGGCAGTAGATAGTCCCGAACTGATGACGAGACTAGAATCCTGTTCTGGTGGTGTGCGCTCTCCCAGCGAGGTGTTTTCCACAAAGTGGTTTTCTATCGTCTGCCTTGTGAGCGAAATCGAGCAGAAAAGGAGTGAACACTGATCTCTTCCTTTGGTCTCTTGACCTATCGCAGCACGTTTTCCTAGTAAGGCAGGATTCAAACTTCGCGACGACGCACGTCCTCGTGCGCAACTACGTCTTACAGCCGTCAACGCGAGGTCTGAACACTGCTTATTTCGAAAAAAAACCATGGCTGAGTGAATAAATTCAAATAAGATGCATACGATTTTATTCTGAACCTTTCTAATATAAATACTTTTCAGGCGAAGACGTGAAATTCGATCAGCCGTGGGTGTTGCCGAAACCAAAAGTGATAAGCGATATCACATTTTTTGACTGGTCTACGGGAAACTACATTGTTAGTAACTTCAGCTATAGTAAAGGTAAACACATGAAGTTACTACTTGGAGGCACCTCCCTAAATAGTATTGGCATGCAAATTATTGGGAGGGGGAGGGGGGGGGGGTGGAGTCAGTGGTCAGCAAAGCCGCTATGACGTGCAGGTCGGATGGTCGACGCCCATCCAGGAAAACCGGGATTTCAGAGGCACTCTGGTCCGTTGATTTTCGCTACTCTTAGCGTGGAGGTTTACATGTCCGTATCTATTCTGGGTGGTGGAGCCATACGATCGAGATACGTCGCTAGTACAAATCGTTGCGCACAGATCGGCTTGATGGGGGCATATTGGTGGTTCCCGTCGATGCGACCTGAATGACCTGAATGTTTTTGTACTATACCATGGCACGTTTATCCTTGACAAGAGTCCACGAGTCCCACCCAGGTGAGTCGTGGAACGTGACAGGAACTAGAGACAACACTGATGAAGCTGCCAAGTGACCCCTAAGCCCAACACTGCCAATCACTGTCCCCACCATGAGCCTTCTTCCTTCGAACCACCACTCTAGTAGACATTTAACTGCATTTCTCTGAGGCGAGGTATCTTGTCAAGGTACATTGCCGATAACATACAACATCAACACTTGATATGAATCGATCTATTTACCAGTCGAAAAATGGCAAATGCAAATTACAGGAAGTTTCTCTGTGTGATGTAGACTCTGGAATTCTAATTTGTAGGTATTGGCAATCTGATGTTCCAATATGCATCACTACGTAGTTTAGCAGAGAAGTGGAACTCCACCTTGGTTGTTCCAGTCACCACCACTCTCAGGTGTTTACTTTAGTTTTACATAATCGATACCAGTCATCAGTAAAACACGTGCACTTGAACCGAATATGCTGCCAAATACATCGCCGTGACACACGCTGCATGTTTAACTGTACTGAACGTGCGCCGTATGTCACGGCGATGTTTTTGGTATGAGCGCACATACTTTTACGCACAACCTTAGAGAGACTTAATGTTCGCTTTGTACTTCTGTTTTCTGGCCGAAGCCGACTGAATAAGCAGTTTTAGACGCGCTTTCGTGCTTAACACGACATTTGTAAGCAAGAAAGTTGCCGATGAACTACTTGAAAGAGCTGCGAACAATACAATCGATATCAAGGTTCGTTCCTACAATATTTATCCGTACTTCAAACTCTGACGAGTAATATTTCCCCTTGTTTCAGAGCTGTTGCGAATTCGTTAGTATACAAAAACCCACCAACCAGCGTTTTACCGCAGTCACTGGATACCTGCAGAATCCACGATATTTCGCTCCACACGATGAGGCGCTTATTCGAAAAGAATTTGACTTTCTGCCGGCTATTCAGGAACAGGTTCACTTATATTCTTTCTTTTTTCTTGACCTAAATAGATCTTCGTCTGTATGGCAAAACTTTCGGTGAGCAGGTGTCGGTTGCTCGACTGCAGTAACAGGTTTCTCACACAGGGGACTCAAAATCACATTCCACAATTGCATATTTTGAACGATGAGGCTTAACTAAGGTAATGTAGTTGCTAGTTGACCCAGTGGCAAAAAAGCCGATAACCCTCTGAGGCCACCTTGCTTTTCTGTATTAGGTAAGCTTCCCCTCCCAACATGGATCGGTGCCGCCCAATACCTCTTTGAGAGTGCCTGGGAGGATAGAAGGGTACGCATCACCCAATTACACTGCCTTGTATCGGCGCCTAGTGCTTAGGGAGGGAGTTTTTTAAAAGCAGGAGGGCAGTAGACCGTGCGATCAGATATACATACCCTCCTATTCTCTCATTCTCTCTCATAGCAACAACGGCCAACGCCGATCAAGCTCCCCCACAGTAATGGAGACTGTTGCAAAGGTAGCGCGTCAATGCGCGTAATCACAAATTCTGAACGCCGTCTCCACGACTTCATGTTTCAGGCGTTGACCTTCATGCAAACCTTGGCGGCTCGACGAGCTCTGGAACAAGCTCGACCACTTTACGTTGACGGGAAACCGAGTGAGACCTCCTTTGAAATGGAAACCGACGCCTGTAAGTCTGTGTTAATATAGACGAGCAAGTTGAGTACTTAATAATAAAAATAATCAATGAACAAGTTTTAAATAATAATAAGAAGGCGAAGGCAAATTCCTTCTATGCATCCTTACATTATCTACGATCTTGTTGGCTGCAGATGCTAAGATGTGTCGGGGGGGGGGGGGGACGGGGCTGGGCTTGAGGCAAACGGTTCTCCATCAATTGTTGAAACGAGCAATAGATGACAAACGGTGGAAAACTTGCTGGCTTTGCGCCAGAACCAGCCCCCGAGCAAGCAAGCGTTTTGAACGACACAAAAATAGTAAAGAGTTAAAAGTTGTTTTCTTAAAGGCAATGAGCTGCACTGCAGCTCGCCACTTTCGTGCGCGACTATTTTGTTTCATGTAAACGTCCTCCTTTGAGTGAGTGCAGTAGCTCGTGTTTGCGGCCAGTTCACTCTAATGGCATGGGCGGAGACGGCCAAACGTTGTCCCTTCCTTATTCGTGCGTTACTTATCTTCACCATGAGCAACGGGTGCACCACTGAAGAAGAGTTGGGTATCTCCACCCACGATGAGCAACGGGTGCACCACTGAAGAAGAGTTGGGTATCTCCACCCATGCAATCGCCACTTTGGAGTTTTACATAGGTCTGGATTTTGCCGGAAAATGGGCAGCATAGTTCGGGTGTGTGCTGATTCTATCGTCGGGTCGTCGCGCCGGTGGGCGGAGAGGCGGCGTGGCGGCCGCCGCGTACGAGTTTTGTTGCGTGGCGTTCAAATTGTTAAAGGGTCGACGATCCCTTTAACAATTTGAAAGAGGCACAGCTTGCTGTGGCCGTTGCTCCAATGACAGCTCGGGAGTACGGTAATGCAACTCCGGGATTGCCGCGTCGCGGCGTGCCGCGGCGCGGCGTGTGCGGCGACGCCTGACCTGCCGGCGATAGAATCGCGCGGCTATAGCGGCGGGTACCGCCATAGTTCCAAGGCGCTGCTGGGCATCTTAAACCGAAACAACTTTCTATAATTCTACGGCTTTATAGGAGTTGTTTAGTGACGGACGACATGTACTATATTGGCGTTCATGTACGACGTGGAATGGACATCGCGATGAACAGTCGAAATCTTCGACACGGTCATGTAGCTGCTCCGCCTGACTACTATAAACGAGCTATGGAGATAGCCAGTGAAGGAAAGGACAATGTGAGCCCATTTTTCGCTTTTATGCTGTTTTTTCCCAAAAGCACTGCCCACGATTATCGTGGGTGGAAATAGTCAGGTGCTGCCCAGCATCTTGTTGGTAGTGACCGTACTGTCTCAGAACGAAGGGCGAAAGCACAATGGCAGATCCGGCTCCGCCCATACGACCAGCGTGAACTGTGCTATGGTCTGACTTACCAGAGTTATGAATTGCGACACAGGAAATTAATGCACACTCCTCGTTGGGTGGGATGGGGAGACACTACCACTATCATTGTCAAATATGACTCAACCTCCTTTCGTGACCGCCGTTATGCAGTGGTCTGAAGATACTGCGAATGTTTCAACGGAAAAGGGATTCAAACCACAAATGAGATGGAAAAAATCCATTAGTGCAAAAAAGGCTAACAAACAACAGGACTGCCTCGGTTTCGGTACCGCAACGCAACTGCACGCGAGAGTGTCAGGTTTTCAGAAATGTCGGATAAGAAGACCCGCATCTTTCATTTACAAGCGGCTCCACAATCTCAAAGCTTACCAGTTATATTTCTATTCGAAAAATCTCAAAATAAGAAATTTAGGTGGTATTCGTGGTGTGCTCGGACAATCCTATATGGGCAAAGAAGCATCTTCCAAAATACGAGAAAGGTCTGTCGACGTGTCCTGCTTGGCAACATGCCAAATCGATAAGTTCTTGAAGAACGTTCAATTCCTTCATTCAGGAATGATATTCGCTTGCCCAGGATTACATCGCGAAATAGATATGGCAATTCTTTCACATTGTGACGCTCTTGTGCTTTCTACTGGCACTTTCTCATGGTGGAGCGGATTTCTGAATGCTAAATCCGAAAAGGTAAAGAATTACTTCATTACAGAGTAAACATATGTAGGCCAATTGGGCGGGGTCGATACCGCGGTAAAAGGCGAAATAGACCACGCTGATCGTGTGGGCGGAGCCAGTCAAACCACTGCGGA